GTTAGGAACCACAGGAATCTCTGCTGTCTACATGTGCTGTGATTTGGTACCAGTTCAACTATACTGAAACCAAAATTTTGATGAAAGCAATTTTTACAGAGGCGAGCGGCCGGATCGGTCGGGAAGGGAAGTGTCTGGCCATGTGAGGGGAGCACCTCCCGGGAGCCGCAGCAGCGCCTCCGGCTATGGAGGCAGGGAAGGAGAGCGTGGCGTGATGGGAGAGAGAGGTGGAGGACAAGTGAGTCACCTTCTTGTGTTTGTGTGTGTGAAGGAAAGGCTGGAAAATGCAGACTCACGCTGGAAAAATGACCATATAACATCATCAGAATGATTCACAAGCATTCTGCCTATTTCCAACTTAGTTTTCTTTATGTTAAAGGTTCTTGTTTAATAACAGAAGAAATTGCAGAAGAATTACCCTATTCTCCTTGTCTGGCATCTTTATGATCAGAACAGTACCTGAGAGAGCAGATGATTAAGCTTTTGAGAATTGGTCCTCTTCTTTTCAGGGTTTTAACCATACACTGCCTGCTACTTTCAGTGCAGTTTGCAATTGTAATTTGCAATGTGATACTGAGCTAAAATCCTTCTGCAACACTTGTCTTTAAAGACTACAGATTAACTCACTCCTGCTGGTAAATCTTGAAGCATTTAAAAAATATTAATGTTCTTCCTGAGTTTTATGCCAGTGACAATTAGATCAGGGCAGAATTGGGAGTAGAGTATGAGTTTGTGAACTTCACTCCCTGCAGACCCACACACTCATCATTGCAACTAAGTTTCTGTTACCTAGAATTAACAGGAATATTGTAGACACGTGTGAGCAGCCTATGGACTGAAGTCTTAAAAGGGGCTGGACTTGCATTTATTGTAACATCTATAAGCTTACTTTTCTTGACAAGCCTGTTTCCTGTAGATAAAACAGGATTCTCACCCTTCCTTGTGAGACTGACTGACTGTCACTTTCTCCCCAGCACTACAACGAGGACAGACACGTCGTAGAACGCCACAGTCGTGAAACTGGACCAAGGAAAGAATGGCATGGACCTAGTTCTCAAGGAAGTAGCTATCATGACACAAGGAGAATGGGAGATGGCCGTGGAGGAGGGGGCATGATGGCTCCACATACAAGGTACAGAAACCACTCCCTGTCCATTCCCTACTGACCCCCCTGCAAGCTTTGGTGTCCGTAACAAGTGCAGCAGTGTGGGTAGCAGCAGGGTGACTCCTTGGGGCTGCTGCACAGCACACAGCCCCACCTGCCCAGCCAGCACAGGGCTCCCTGGGGTGTTGCTGCTGGCAGCATGGCCCAGCAGCACAGGAGTGAGGGACTTCTTGCAAAGTCTCTTTTCCTGCATGTTTTCAAGTCTCTTTTGAGATGTACAGTTTGACAGTTGAGTGATAGATGTAAGAATGTTATCACCTGTGCACCAGGAGTTTAGGCATGTATCATAACATTTTTTTTAAAACTTCTATTTCCAGTAACTCTTCACCCATTAATAGAGTTGTACAGATCACAGGCAATTCCATGCAGAGGGGAAGTGGCTCAGGATTTAAGCCATTTAAAGGTGGACCTCCACGAAGATTCTAAGATCTACAGCTGTTTGGTTTCAAGATAACTTATTGAAATCTCTTGTAAACTTTCTCTGATTAAGAACAGGAAATCTTGTATGGAAATCCTGGTTAAATTTTTTTAATTTAACATGATTATTTTCCTCTCAATTTCGGAGGCATTTTAATAGTTGCGTTGTAATTTTGGATAGTTTTTGTGTATCTTTGATAAGCATTTTCCCTGAGGCACTAGAGCTGTGTATAAAAAAATTGGAACCAAAATTGTTAATTCTGTATAAAAGAATAGTTTGCAGCTGTGTGCTAGTAGTTTGATTTGCCAACATTAGCTCTGTGGTGTCATGCTTTAAAGTTAGCTACTTCTCACAACATCCACAATAACCTCCATTTTGAAGGTTGTCCAGGCTATTATCTCTGCTTTCTAATTTGTAGAGAAATAAGATTTGTTCTTTCATTACTGGGTATTATGTAACCTATTTTTGCAGAAGGTACTGTTACATTGAGTGCATTTATGTGTATTCTTGCAAATGTATTCTTTTGAAATAAACCTTCATATTCTGTATAGCTTCTAGTAAGTCTTTAAAGCAGTCTTTGGGGGAAGGAAGGCAGAATTAAACAGATATGTTGGTATAGCAAATCAAAGCATGGGTCCCATTAGGTTCTATCTGAAACTTCCTTGTCTCCTTCACTGTTACTGAATTGAAAACTTAGAAGCACGTTTGCTCACAGAAGATAGATTAGAACCAAAAAATAGCAAAACACTCAAGCAAGGACCAAAAAAGTAACTTTCATTTGCTCTTTGTGTTTAGCAAAGGTCTGTGGAAGTTTGAAAGAGCTGGGGTTTTTTCACCAGACTACCACAAACTGCCTACAGGGCTTGGGAACTCCTGCAGCTGCTCACTGATGTGGCCTTGAGCAAAAGGCTGCATCTTGTTAAGCCCTTTGGTTTGGGTCAGCATGGAAAGGGTCTGTGTTAAACCTTTCTGTAGCAGGCCCAAATTGAAATGCCAGGCCAGGACTCATTCATCACCCAGCCAGGTTAAGGGTATAGTTAAAACTCTGCTGTCCAGCAAGGGAGAAAAGCAAATGAATCCCATTTGGAAAAGCTGGGTGGTGGATGGTTACCCAAATGAAAAGGGGACTCCTAGCAGCACAGGAGAGCTTAGGAAATAGTCCTTGAATATAAGCTGGAAGTCTTTACTGATGCAGATTGCATGTGAAAGAAGGATTTTACAAGTTGTACATTTTTGAAGATGTGAAGCAGTAAGAAGATGCTGATTTCTACTTCCTGTGTGGAAGAACTGCTAAGCACCTGCAGTGTTCCAGGGCAAGTAAGAGCAGAGAATGAGTGAAACTAAACTGGTTTTGATAAAGTAGCCTTTCAGGAAAGATGGAGGAGAGAGAAACCTGCTGTTGTTGAACAGCATTGTCTCTAATTAATCCTATATGGATATTCACATCTGACAAATATTTAGGTTTAAACAAAATAAATGCACTGTCTCAGCAAGTGTGTCACTTACCTTGATATATTTAATACATCTTGTTAATTCTTGAAAGAAAAAATCTAAGAAGTTCAATTTCCTGAGTTTTGCTGCAGAAGTTTCCAAGAGAAAGTACAAGTTCCCAGTGCATTTTCAAAAGTACTTGTGCATTTGGCTGCAATCTGTGCTTTATGAGCTGTGACAACACACACAAAACAAGTATCTGATCCAAGATGAATTTATAGTGGCTAATTGATCAAATGGGCAATTCAGAAGTTTATAACCTTAAAAGACGAAGCTATAGAGAGGTACAAAAATAAAACTTGAGATGTGCTTGGTTCCCTGTGAAAGTCTAGATGTGCATTCCAACATTTAAAGCATAATTAGATTTAAAATGTGATTGTGCAGGTGTAGCCATTTCACTTAAAATATGAAAACAGACTCAGACAATGTGGAAAAAAAGTGATTGAAAACAAATTGCCAAAACCTTTGAATTTATCAAAAGATAGTCTTCTGATAGATCAGAAGTCTATCCTTTTCCAGAGTGAGTTTTTGTTGGGTTATTGTTTGTTGGGTTTTTTAAAGTATATCATCCAACCTTTGTTATTAGGAAAGAACTTAAATATCTAAATGAAATATTTATTTAAGTTTGCTCACTTAAATTTATTTACATACAATGAGTTTCAGAAGACTGTTAACCAAAATAAATCTCAGTTGGGTAAAGAACTTGAACTAGAGAGAGGCTGATAACTGGAGACACTATTTAAAAAGTAACAGAATTTAACAGCTTTGTGGTACACAAACAAAAAGGGGTATTAAGATACAGAACTGGATTTCTCTGAAAATTATTTGTGTTCAAAATTATTTTAACAATTTACAAGGAAAATGTTATTTCCTTATAGTCTTTAAAAACATATTAATACAATATAAACAATTAAGGCTTTTAAAATGCAAAACATTCAGTAGTTGAACTTGTAGATGCCATTACAGTGTTGGATAATGGTGTAACATGATGAAAAGTATTTCATTCACATACATTGGTACAAATATTACTGCATGACTAGATTTAATTGTGTCATGCACCTCTAAAATACAAGTTAAAAAAATTTAACTTCTCCCCTTTCTTGGTAAATCCAGAGTCACTTGCATCACCTTTATTTTCCTTTTCAGACTAGATTCAGAGATCAGGTAAGCATGGGGTGATAGACTCACAGCTAAACTACTGATTTAACACAGGAATTGCACAATTCTGGTGGCATGTTGAAAACATTACTAATCTGGAAGTATTTTGGAACTTTCCTAAAATACACCAGGGTTTTGTGTGTGGGGCTTTTCTAAAAAACATTTCATTGTAAAAAGACCCAGTCAAGGCAGTTAAGACACCAAATATTTAACTCAGCACTGGAGAACTTGGGGCAACTTCTGTAGGATTCCTTTTTAGTAATTTCTGCACTAAGCTTACATGTATGTGTAAAAGGTGATTATCACAAGTTGTACAAATAAAAGGGATATGCAGCTGGTGACTAGATAAAAGAATAACTGAAAATTATTTTTAAAAAAACTTTGATAAGAACTTATTTTGCTGAAAGCTGTAACATAAATCAAAACTCTGTCATTTAACATTAAAACTCTATGTGGTTACTGTGGGGAAACTGCTGACAGTATTTCTCACTCCCTTACAAAGAAATTGCTGTAAGGAATTAAGATAATACTGAGCAAGGTGTAGCAGATTCAGAATAGATTTCTGTGGCACAGGACAAATACTTGATACTTGTATAGTTCAAAGAATGCTATCAAAGCTGAGGCTCAACCTGTAAACAGTGACTACACACTGCAAAAACACAGGGAAAAAACATTCACAGGTGCTATGACCTGTCCAGTACAATCTGACTGGATTAATTGGGAGTGGTTTTGCACATACAAAGTGTATCCAAACCAGAACCCTGCTTATTTCATCAAGGTCTGACTGTAACCCCCTGACCAGCCACACTTTTCAGCATAATGTAACAGCACTAGTGGTTGATTTCAAGAGTTACCAAAATACAGGTGAAAAAACCCTTGCTACAATAGGTTTGTCTCTTGAAATCATTGTACCTGTGGTCACTTTTTTAAGGGGTTCTCTGAAGTTTTTGCTTGCCAATCCCTAAAAGCATGTAGGAAATCCAGAAATACAAGCATACTGCTGCAACCCAAGTATATAGAATGCAAACATTTAATAATTCCAGCTATTCATGATAAAAAATGCAAAAGCTGGATTACAGATAGTTTGAAGTCCACAAATGGGTTCCTTGGTTCATTTTATCTATCTGCAGTGTCTTGAAGACATCACCTACTACTACTATGTTCTTCAATGCAAAAGAAGGTTTTATTTCCACAGCAACACTTTTTTTTTCTGCAGGTACTGGAATCAGTGGTAATGTCTACCCATGCAATTAGCCAAAATCCCCATGCTGTCACCTCACAGAGAACCTGGTTTCAAACTTTAAGTGTGAAAGGCTTCACTAAAACTCAATTGTAAACAAAACAGTAACTAAGATAAACCAGTTTCTGGCTCTGGTTAATCTGCAATAACAAAAGCCCTAAAAGTAATAGATCTATTGATGGCCTGATAGCAAAATACTAGAGAAAAAATTGTCTATTTTCCTAGATATTTTGGAGTTCCCCAAAAGAAGAGATGAGCAAACGCAAGGGTCTTCCCATTACTTGGCTGATTTAAGTTTGTAAAGTGATTTAAGACACACTGGTATTTCTTCTGTTTGCAATTTTGACCCTTCCCTTGGCAGGTGTCAGTAAGCCAGAACAAAAGCCATCAAAAGGTTTCTGATAAAAATACAAGTTATCCCAGCTTTTTTGGAAACACATTCAGAAGAAATCTAAAAATGTCAAACTAAAGTGAAATTTTCCAAACTGCTTAGCATAAACAGAACTTTTCAAAGTTACAGCTGAAATTTTAACTCAAAAAGCCCATCCAAATTTTCCTAAAGATTTCATAACAAGGAAAGAGAACATGAACTTCCAAGACAGACCAAGTATCCCATTATTCATCCAGCTCTGTGGTGGAGAACCTCAGTTTGTCTCAGCTAAAGGCTTTGGCTCAGGAGACACTATTAGACCAATCTCCCTATGTTCCACAATAGGTATCACTTATGGTAGATGGGACCTAAAATGAAATGGGGTCAGCACTAAAGGAAGTTCAAGAGTAATTGAAAAAAAAAAAACCAAACAAAAAAACTTAGCTGAGTTTGTGTCTCTGTCCACCCCCAAAATCTCTGTACATTTGGCTGAGTGTCTGACTTTATCAAACAACCCCATTTAGTTCACTTTTGGCCCCAGCAACATCGACCCAGCACCTGCTGCCCTGAGTGCACAACTTGGCCGGGAGGGCATGGGCAGTGCCTCAGCTCTGTCTGCACTGATCAGAGCAGCAGCTGCCTTGGATTTCAGCACTGTTACACTATTTGTAAGCACTGTTTAGACTGAGCTAGCAAACTTTTCAGCTACTTTGAGTGCTGAAAATCCCCTAAGATTTCCCAAAAATAGCATTATTATGTTGCACAATTTTTTATGCTGTATAGGCAAACATGGGATCTTGACGTTCTAACGATAATTAACTGAGTATTTAAAGGTTTTAATCTTGAAAAACAAGGAATTGCCCATTTCAGCACATGGAGTTTTCCCATGAACAGAAGTCATCCTACAAACCAGAAAAGGAATGGAGAAAGCAGATTTCAGCAAGTTCTCTAGAGAGAACTCTCCAGCAAAGAGAGTTCAGAGTGGTAGGAGCCGACATTGACCAAAACTGAACAGTAGGCAACTGACATTTAATATCTGAGGCTATCAGAGGATCAGCACAGCTAGTCCTGACTTTAAAGCACAGTGAGAGTGAGGAGCAGTGTGTCCAGGGACAGACACTGCCAGCCTGCCAGGAAATGAACCTGCTGGGCATTACCTAGGTGAGAAAATGCGGCCGCTGCACGCTGTGCCACAGCTATTTGTGTCCAAAATAACAGCAAAATTACGGACAAAGCCTTAAACAATCTCAAGAGGTAGCATAGGGACTTATGTTCCGGCCTCTCTTTCCTCCTTAGCATTCCCCTGTGGCACTTCTTCCCCATCAGAGCAGATCACAGCCGAGCTTACATCCATTCTTTTCTGCTGGCCAAGCTATGAACGAGAGGGAGCTCTGCAGGAGCACTGTGAACATCAGACTGTATATGATGTGGTTTGAGAAGCTGGCACTCACCTCTTCCCATTTCCCACTCAGCACTAAGTTTCTGGCTAGTTATGCTTAATAAAAAAGGATGTGGACTCATCAATTTTAAGATGAAATGCCATTTTCAGGCCTTGCACGTGACATTTGCTGTAATATGCTAGACTGAATGAACATTTTTTAACGTTGGATTTTTCTTGATAACAAGGTGTTCTTCATCGTAGCACAGATAGGAAAAAATGGGAGCATTCGAATGCATCCAAACTACAGCTTGTTGTTTTTGCTTTTCTGTAATATGCTTTCTAATGAGGATTTCACAACATTTAACATGCATTCCCTGAGTCACCTGTTTAATGCTGCAACTTTTAAAAATCTGCTTTTATATAAAATGAGCTCTTAATTTAGTATGTTGTATTGAAGGATGTAGTTTGTATTGATTCTCTAATAAGCATCCTAATGCAAAGAGATGATCCAAGGAATGACTTTGTTACAGAAGCAGTGGAGCAGGAACAAAGGATGGTTCAGTTAAAAATGTATCAGCTGTACCTTTCACTTGAGTATTTCCTGCTGAATGCACAAGAAAATTCCATTTCAAGAACTCCAAAACTGCCTTTTATTACATACTGGAAAATTTTTCCAAGAGCTTGTGTATACAAGTTTGAAGAAACATGATAATAATGTGAAATACCAAGTGAGAAAGAGCCTGCCTGGCAATCTGAGGTTCTCAGCAGAGCCTGTGCTTCCCTTGGAGCTCATGTGCCTGTGAGCCACAAGAGCAGCTCTGCAGAGACACTGAACACATCACTTCTTACATGGACAGCTACAAAATGTAGTTTTTGGATGGTGTTTAAGTGAATTTTCAGGAATGCTAATTTCATTCTCTGGTGTTACAACCCTCCTTTGGATCTGCTTTGTTGGGTTGCAGATTCCATGAGTGGCACAAGAAAACTGGTGGATCTGAGCATTTACAAAGTGCCTTATAGAAAAAACATTTATCTCTATGGCAGTGCTGAGTTTTTTGCTAATCTTAAGAATACTTTTATGTAGCGTTTTTTTATGTCACAACTATAATGCAAAAACAAAAATTCTGTGATATTTTTTCTTCTGTGCTAGCATTTATCTAGTGGAAAACAAGTTCTACTCTACTTTTTTGGACACTTTCATATATACTATGGAGCATGTGCATGCTAAATTGTATAAATAGATTTAAAGTATAAATCTATACCATATTACTTATGTTTTGCCAGAACATAAGCTGGAGGAAAAAAAAGAGAAAAAAAAGGCAAATGAAGTAAACAGAAGTAGATATTGTCTTCCTGGTACTCCAAGACTATATTGTGCAATATTGTTTTCCAAGCTCACTTCATATAGATAAAAGCAATTCTGTTCATGTTTTTTATCCTCAGATACTATCAGAGATACCAACGGTGACAAGGTGCTTTTGGAATGGTTACTCCCAGTAGGGCATAAATTAAGCTCCCAGATGAATTTCATTTTGGGTATTAGGAAGCTCAACTGCTTAAAACTTTTGCCACTAACAAGTTCAACTCATGCAGCCCTAGATTTCAGGAATTCTTTACCTTTTTTCCAAAGCTTCAAGACCTGTAAAGAAAAAAGGATATTAACAGAGGACTGTTTTCATAGCATGCCTTCCATCTCAAACACCCTGAAACTCTTCACTCCTCTACTGAAAGAAACTGAATTATCTTGTTGGAATTTCATGATGAGCACTGCATTTAACTCTTCTTCCTCTGTGACTAAATGACCATAATTCCTCTAACTACAGTATATTGAGTTTCAGGCACATCTGTCGGAAACTCGAAATGTTACATGAATTCCTCTAATATGAGCAAGTATCTTAGGCAAAGAGATAAACTCCACAGCCACAACAGCTGGATTCCTTCCAAAAGGAGTTAGTGGCAATACTGTCACTGAAAACAATAACAAACACTTAGCTTGACATATTTATTTTTCAAGGTCAATAAATAAATGTAAATACACAAATTTGGAAAAATCTTAGTAACAGAATGTTTTTAAACAACATTCTGGCTTAAAGTCTCTGTTATTGACACTATTGGAAGTCTACTTAAAGTAGCTAAGTCGTTATGTTGGTGATCCTCCATCACATTAATTTGTTTGAAGAAGTTAGGCTGCTGCAAAGGAAAAAAGGACATCAACCTTTGCTTTGACATAGAAAATTATATGAACTGCATACATCAAGTATTAAAAATTACTTCTCTGGGCATGACTTTTCTAGAGAAGATATTTTTAAAATTTACAGTTTACATATTAGAGACCTCCTACTGTTCATTACTTCATCATTATAAAAGGGAAATTGTAACAAAAGTGGAAAAAAAAACAAAAGGAGAAAAGTCATGGAAGAAAAATGATCCAAATTGGCCCTTTAGTTGGTAAGACATTCTTCCTTTATCTCATTTTCATTCTAGGTTGGTAACAGATGTGTGTAATGACTGGTTGCCATCAGTGCAGCAAGTCTGCTTGAAATAAACTTGTGTCAGACACCCACTTTTACAGACATTCTCCAAACACCTGGAAGCAGGAATGTCATATTCCACCTTAGCTTGCCCAAGGTATTCTGTGTGAACACTAAGGCTTAGAGCACAGATACAGAACTTGTCCAGGAGAAGCAGCCTTTTTCAAAAGTATCTACAAATCGCTAAATAGAAATTTTTATCAAAAGCAAGAAGGTAATTGTTATTGATTTAATGGAAGTGGAGGAAGATTTGTGGTTCCCTCAAAATTCATCAAGTGTTCTATTTCAGCGTTCTATAAATACTACAAGATGCAACATGTTTATTTGGTTCCCATAAATTAGAAAAATCTGGTTTCCAAAAATTCTAAATTAGTGATTTAAAAAATAAAATATTACACCTGACCACCTCTCAAACCATCTCAGAGATGGCTTCACTCCTCTGTCACCCCTTCAGAAGTGTGCTTTTTTAAGAATACATGATTTATAAAACAAACAAAAAAATGTGTTTTTAACTACAGTACACTTGCTTAAATATACAAGTGGACACGTTAACGTCATGTTGAAGTTCAAGGTACTTCTGGATAAAAGGCAGATATTAGTTATTTTAACTCTGCATTCTTATATAGAATAATGATTATTATAGACTTTAGCTTCCTCTCATCATTCATCTATCATATGGAGAGGTCAATAAATAAAAGCTTATCTGGTCCAGTTTACCTACAAGAGAAAAAAAATAGTAAAAGAAAAAGAAGTTACCTATAAAATTACTTTTTAACCCTGATAACATCTGAGTTGCCATACCCAGTTTGTAGTTGCAAGAAAAGCAAACAATATTCATTTTGCTTTTTAATAAATGCCCCATTGTTTTCATGACAATTTTTGTATGCTGCCTATCAAGTCACATATTCTTGGGGCAAGAAAGCTGGCCAGGAGATGCAGTGGTAGCAGTAAGTATAAATCTGGGTTCAAAAAAAGAACATACCAGATCCAGAAGCAAAGAAATCTGGACACACTGAGGAGGCAGTGCCCAGCTGTTATTTGGGCTCTTGTGTCATGGAGACTATACCCAGCCTAAGATATAGTTTCATACTATGGAAGTAACACAGAACTCTGTTGTGCTTGTGTACAGACTTCAGGAAAAAGCCTTACACAAAATGAATTACCTTTGTTTAGAGTAGAAGATAAAATAGCTTACTAACTGATGTAATGAGTAATGGATGTCACTATGACACAGGACTTGCCATGAGTTGTGTGTTCAGCTACAAGGTGCAGTATTTCTTACGACTAACTCAAAGCACAGCCGCTTCCAACTGTGATTTGGAATTCCCTCTTGAGCAGCACGCACTATGACTTTGAAGGAAGTCTGTCTGATTGTTACAAAGTCATCCATCCTCTCTTGGAACATGAACAAAATCCATGGGGTAATCAGGCACAGGCGGCATGTAACAGGTTTGTCTTCCTTTTTACTCCTTGTTTTTGCTTCTGAGGACATGCACTTGACTCCAGATGGAATCCATGTTCTGTTACAAAAGAACACAGCTGTTCTTCTCTTTCTCCCTCTCCTTCTCTCGAGGCTCTTTGCGTTTGCGTTCGTTACTCCCGGATTGTCTCGCACTGGCTGGAGAGGCAGCACCTTGTACCTGCTGTGTAGGGAAAAATAACGTGGGAAATGAACCCAGCACCATTGCAGATACAGCCTGAAACATTACTGTGCAGTGAAGTTCACAAACAAAAAGTTTAGGTACTATGCTAACCAGCAGAATTCACGTAGGGGTTTTTGGTATACCTACTCCAGGACCTCCACAAAATTGCATATTTCTTGAAAATTAAGTCAGCTGAAAATATATTTCAAGTTTCATGTGTCCCTTCTGTTGTGTCCACATATTCAGATCAGTAGTTTCAATAAAATATGGTTTCAAGCATTTTCTGGCACTTCTGTGTTATTGGACTGGAATTTTTTCTTAGTTTCTCTTATAACTACACAATCCACATTTTGCTATTTGCAGTCAAAGTGCTGGTGTGGACAGATAATGGCAAGGCAGCAGCTTTTTGTGACTCTTTAATAACTTGGCAAGGGAATTGGTATGCAAAGGCAACATAAGTTTTGTTAATTCATTATCTATTCCCTCTGTTACCTATTCATAGCCTGCAAATGAGCAGGCTCCTAATCCTGCTCAGCAGGTTCTTCAGTTCTTTCTACCTTTGGCAGCCAGCAGTAATGAATCTGTGTCTTAGACAGGTACTGCTGGTTCTATTAAAGCAACAAGCAGTACAAATAACACAACTTTTACCTGTAAAAATTCTTGTTTCATGCTTAACAAACTTAACAGCTAATGGTTCTGAATTACTTCAGGCCAAAGATGCAGGCTTTACATAGATTATTTCTTACATATTTGTAAATAAAAACAGTTCTGAAAGTCCTCAGTAGTTAAAGAACTCTCTAAATCCAAAAAACCAATATTGTCTCTGGCACAGAAGATTCAGTTAAATTGCATTTTTGCATAGACATGTGCATGAATCACTTTTTCAGAAGATTTTGAAATCAGCTGCTTATGGGTATGGGATGGAAAGGTGTACTGGAAGAAACTGAATTGCCCAATTTGGAACAACAGAATAGATTCACATGAGATCACAGTCTGAAACACCTAAAAATGTAAGCAACAAACTTCTGCAAAACAAAATAAAGACAAAGCTTCAACTACTATCAGAAGTTTAGTTGAATGCTCTTCTGCAAGTAATGTACAATACTAGCTAATACCATCTTTGTAACCTGACATATTAATTCATACCATCATTCCAAATTTAAGCAGTATAAATGAAACCCTAATTTAGAAGGTTAAGCCTGCTTTAAAGTATTTAAATGTTTGCAGTTGCCAGATCTACATGCATACTCCAACAATTGCAGCATATTCCCAAAGAATTCTATATTCACTTCCAGCTGAAATATGTATAAGCACAGATGTGTGTCTATGCAATTATTAATATTTTCTAAAACTGATGATCATATTCTGTAATGTTTTCTTACCTGGACCTGAGCAGCTGCTTGTTCTTGTTCCTGATAGTACTGAGAAGCTCTCCTGTCCTCCTCTTCCTGGAGCTTCTTTGCTAGCTCTAGATCACTGATTCCTTCTGGGATCTGTTCCCAGTTAATCTCTTGATTCTGCTGCTCTTGTTGTAGAGATAGTGCCATCAGATAATCCTGAACAGTAAACTTTTTAATTAATGCTCTTTCACAGAGAAAAAAATTTGTATCAAGTGAATTTTGCAGCATGTCCAGCTACACAGTACCATCACTTTTCTCCCAGCCTTATCTTCAAAGGGAGATCAGGAATTTGTTTCAGAACCTGACCATAACCTCAGCTGCAGAAAGGCTGAGAACAGCTACTTTACATATCTGCTTTCACAATGCCTAAGTTGCAGCACAGAAAACACAAAAACTAATTAAAAATTTTTGCTTTCAGGTTTAAATTCTATTAACTAGACAGCAGCGAATTATCTGTCAGATTTTGATTCTGAGACAGAGATGCTGTGCTTCAATTTATTAAGAAGCATCTTATTAATTTTCCCCCAGTATTTAAAAGACATTAATGGTGATCATATAAACTTGTTCAGAATGTAAGATTTTGAAGGACATCCATCTTGCTCTGCACTTGTGCATTAACTGGTACAACTCAGCCCCACCTCAGACATGACTTCTGCAAACCGTGTCTCAGTAAGAATAACACCACCATGAGACACAATCTGCTGTGCGGTTTCTCCTACATTCAGAAGGCAAAGTTCAGCTATGACAATCTTAATGAGCTGAAGGAAGTTTGTTATGTAGGAAGGAATTCCACAGTCTGCTGCTGTTTCCATATACAAAGCAGAGGTGACATTTCACCTGAGTGAGGACTTTGCAGAGATTAAAATCCCATTTTCCAAACTCCTCAGTTGGTCTTACTTTTCCTCCCTCAAACCCATCTTAATACTTTCAAGTGGCACTTTTGGGAATCCCAATCTAATTACCTAAAGGAGTTTTACAGTCCCACATATGTGTGAGTATACACACATACATATCTGTGGAATTACACTAAAAATCAGCACTAACTTCAAATGGAAAGGCAGAAATCCAGTACCTGATCTATTTGGTCCTGCTGCCCTCTGTAGACAGTTTCAGGGTCTGATGGAGGCCGCAGGTGGAATTCAGAGTCACAGAAATTCCCGTCACCATCCACATTGTGTAAACTTTCCCACACAACCTTCTCTTCTGTAAGAAAGCCCTGGTCTGTCACCAGCAGGTAAAGCTGACCCTACACAGAAGAAATAGAAAAACCTGTAAAACTTTAAATAAAAAAATAAAAAAATACTTTTTACAGTCTAAGTAGTAGAAATTATACAAATATTACACTTCAATAAAACATTCATTTAGAGTTTTTAGCAAGTTTAATAATTAAATAAATCAGCAAACAGCATTAAACCACCAGACATTAGTATTCACTGCTAAATTAACAGCCACACAATTTCTTTATTCCATCTTGCAATTCTTCATTCTTAATGAAAGTTCAAATTGACTAGAAATTGATATAAAACATTAATATAGATATATATTAATAAATATATTAATATATGCAAAGCCTTGACAGCTCTTTAGAAACACACCTAAGAAATAGACTTAAAAACTGGCAACAAAAACTTTAAATCCCAGGAGTAATCACATTAAATTCCAAAGGCAAGATATGGAGACAAAGGTGATCTTTCCAAACAATCCAAGAGGCATTACCTCAAGATGGCCACATCTCAGACTTCATGTTTCATAATGAGTTTTGATAAAATTTGAGGTCTGTGTCAATTGAAAGTTCTAAATTTAAGATTCTTGCTATCACTTGTCACCAATAACTGCTTTTGTTGGCATTTTAGTAATTTTACATTTCCATAAGGCCAAATTTCTTGGTTTCAAAGTCTGAAATTATAAAATGGGCTGGTCTGAAGGAGACAATGCTAACAAAGTGCAGGTACCAAGGCACTGGAAGGATGAAATGTAAGCTTAGACTGAAGGAGTGGGAGAAGAGCTGAAATCAAAGGGAATAACTGAAGGAGGCCCCAAGTAAAAGGAGATGGTGCTGCATATCTGAGGGACAGCAAAGCAGCACAAAATACCCGTTTAAATTTCCATTTAAATCAATCCATTTATTTCATCCTACCTTTTTTATCATGTTTTTAGGATTATACTCCAAATCAAGAAGGTTGTTACTGACCATACAGCACATTAAGACTGAAAACTCCATTATTATTACTGAATGTACCAGATCAAGACACTCAATACAAAACTTAGAGCATTGGTTTAGCTGTAAGAATCAAGGCAGTTTATGACATCCACAAAAATTTGGTATTTGTATTCCAGCAACACACAAAGGGTTCTCAAAGATCACTGTTCTAAAGTTGTACCAAAGCAAGACGCAGATCCTGTTCTAGTGATTTCTAAAGCTAAACAGGCAAGAAATTGAAACTCTGTCCATACTCAACACATAGAGAATGAGCTCCCTGACTTCTCTGATGTCATTAAATAACTCTCTAAGGAGATGCTGAAATTCCAATCACATCTCGTCAATCCCACTCTGTTTACAGCCCCTCCTGGGGCTGGGAGGTCATTTGATGTAACAAAAATATTATTTGAAGACTCGCAGCAATCATTCCAATATTACCTAATACCATAACATGCACTTATACACAAGGCCAAATAGAGTGGATAAAAAAACCAAACCAAAACCAAACAGGTAACACTACTGTATGTTCAAGCATGGGAACGGGAGTTAACCAGCACAGCGGGGCTCTACAGACATACGTACAAGTGTCAGCAACAAGTCTGATCACATAACATGATCTAAAAAAATCACCTGTCCCTTGGAAACCTGCCTGAGAACTGAATGATACTCCTGACACCTAAAATTGCCTGAAGAAAATAAAAAGAAGTAATTTCACAATGTTTCCAGTTTGCACAGAATACCTATTTCACAACATTTTGTATATAAGAATCAATCTTCAAAAAGATGTAAAATAAAATCCTGGAATTTTTAAGATAAAATTTTAAGATAAAATGTATTTGAACTTTTAAGTTTTATTTTGAACAGTACATTGACCCAAACAAAACTTAAAAAAGGGGATGGTGTGCGTATGTGTGTCTCAGGTTTTCCTCTATTATGGCATACATTTTTAATTACAGACCATCAACTGTGATTATGAAAATATTAGTTTTCCTATCTCCAAACTATTATAAGCTTAATTTTTCCACATACAAATATTAAGGTATATCATTGCCTTCACAGAATTAGAATCTAGTATCTAAGGATGGATTAAAGCTAACATTTGTTTGAAATAGAGACCTGTTTCAAATCTTAAATACAATTCATATTATTACTTTGTAAGAATTTCTCAGTTGAACACTGATGGTAAAAATGTCACATTAGAGTAAATAATCAAAAATAAATGTAACACAGCTCCCTATGAAAGGCAATAAACTGCACTGCATATCACCACATTACCTGGACGCCACCACTGCAATTCCAATACCAACTGCATACCTTAAAACATTCTGTTTCACTTGAACAAAGCTTAGCAAACCAACAAACACAGGCTTCCCTAGTGCCTGATAAGAGACAGAGTTCCTGTTCACATTATTGGAACGAAAGAAAAATGGGAAATCACAGATCAGAGATCCAAAGTCATCTTTCCCTTATTTTTAACCAACTTCTCTGATCTCTACATCCTATTAGTAAATTAAAACGAATCCCACAAAAAACCCCAACCAGGACCCTCACAATATTGCTAATATTCAAGGAGGCTTTGGCAATAATTTCATACATTAAGTAAGAGAAGTTGGCTCTTTTGCTAGGAGCTGTAATGTAGCCTCTCATCAGTGGTTTGTTCCTTCTCCTTGCAACAAGAAAATAGAGACTATTTCTTTCTACAGACTGGCTTTGTAGGCACAATTTTAATGCCAGGCACGTTCTCTTCCCAATGCCGAAGGCACAGGCCACACTCAGTGGCACAGCCAGACTCCAGCAAGGAGAGCCTGTGATTCCAGAAAAGCCTTTTAGCCTTTCATCCTCTGACCTTCGCGCTGCCTCTGAGCCGGGGCTGCACCGAGCCGTGCCTGGGGCCAGGAAGAGCAGCCGCCCTTCCCAGGCACTTCCCACAGCCCGGGGCTGGCTCTGAGGGACACGGACACAGCCCCGGGGGACGGGGGGACACAGCCCCGGAGGACGGGGGGACACAGCCCCGGGGGACGGGGGAGGGACACGGACACAGCCCCGAGGGACACGGACACAGCCCCGGCCTGTGCCGCTGGTCCCCGGGCTCCCCAGGCCGAGCAGCACACCGAGCTCAGGCAACTCAGGTAACCAATGCACACAAAATTGGCTTTCGAATGCCCCCCCACCCGAGAACGGTACCAACGCTTTACTAACTGTTTCTACCTTCAGAAAAATCCTAACTGGCCATTTCTAGAGTATTACGGGATTATCTTTTAGATTTTTTCAATGTGGGGTTTTTTAAACAAATATCCAGTCTCATGGGTTAACACTGCCCCCCAAAATACCACCACATAAGAGACAGCAAATATATCTACTACTAGCTATAGTCTATAGGGAGTAAGACAATAAAGTCTTAAGTGCATAGCTATTGTAGACACAGTTTAACAAAGTTATGACTAATTATTTATCCTAAGAATCAATACTTAGATACTGTAGACCAATGCCCAGATTTTATAGTTTCACATATAAAAACTTTGAAATAAAGCTGAGGATAAAGCAAGATTATTCTCCCAAACAGGGATCTCTCAGTCTTCTGGTGTGCACAAAAAGACTCCTCTTAAATGCACAGATATAGGCTACAGTACTAGACCTCTTTTCCCTGGGTAATTTCATAATCAGATTAAATAATTAAGATTAATGTTTTTAAACTAGTTGTTCTAATGCAAATTACCAAGTTTCCAGCAACTCAGCTGAAAAAGAAAACCTAATAGTTTCATACAGTAAAGACAAAACATTTTAAGCTTTATGTTTTGAATAGTATGTAAATATTCTCTTGGACTTCTGGATCAGATCCCTTCATTTCTGTGAAGGTGTTTTAAGTTGATGAATGAGTGTTGTTTGAATTTTCTCTAACAGTTGAAACATTCAAATACTCTAATATTAAAAAGATCTTTTAAAGAAAATACATACTACTGGATTCAGAGTACCCTCAGCGTAAGAACTGTACACTTAACTAAGAAATTAAAAAATAAACATGTTTTTAAGCAGTTATATTCATTGCCTCTACTGTGCCAATCTTAAATGCCTAGGAAAAAGTGAAATTATTGTTATGAAATACACTTTGTATTGGAATAAAAGGATCTGTTGAGTTGTGAAGCAGAAACACAACATTTCTAAACTAGAAAACACACATACTTAAAAATCGAGACAGGTAAGTGTCTTGATACTTTTCAGTAAAGAACACAGGTTCTATTACAAACAGTCTGTGGGAAAAAATGTTCCAACTGAACTAAGATCTTACCAAACTGATCCCCTCTTTCCTGTTTTTCCTTGATCTAGGGAATTATCATTTGATGTATTTATTATCTGCATAATGAAAAGCAAAGGCAAAAAAATAAAATCACATTTTTAACTGCTGAAAATTATTATGGTATAATCAAGTGAGCCAAGACTATTAGAATGCAATTAAAGGGACAGGAAGTAGAAAAAATGATTACTTGGGCAAATGGACAAGGTATGGAAAGCCAAGTCCTTTCACTAAAATATCAGCCTTGAAAAACCCACACTGCACTTAAAAAATATCCCCAGTGTACAAATCTCCTTGTATCAGCTGTATATTAAAGCTGAAAAAAAAGTTGAATAATTAGCTTAATTAGAATAATAATAGCTAATTACTCAAGCTGTCTCTGAAACACACCAAATTTATTACATGGACATTACTTATTAAATGTGTAACTCCCTTTTGATTAACTTTATAGCCACTTTATTTATACATTTCCACGTATTGATTTGGAGGGGAAAGAGGGAAAGGCAGTATTAGGGAAAGACAAAAAATAATTGCATCATTCTTGCCATAGAAGTTCAACACCTCCATTTTCCCTGGCATATGTGATGTCTCCAGTTTTCCCAATGGATGGACTTTCTCCCATCGTCCAGCTACTGCTGACCACTGCTCAAAGTGTGAGGAAACTCCATCCTCAGAGTGAGCATTAAACCCAGGAGATGGAAACAGTGAAGCAGTTGGAAAAAAACCTCAACTCTGTAGTAACAATGCATTTGGCACTCACATGAGTATCCTGGAGGTCCAAAAATTTCTGGATAGCTGATCTTGGCAAACAGCCCAGGTCTATTTCTGACTTGATACAGAAGACCCCCTAGATGTATAGCTACTGCAAAGAGCTGGGTAGGTTAGAAGCAAGCAAGAGTTATTGCTGGCCTTTAAATATCAATTTTAAAATTATTTTCTGTCTTTATTAAAAAGCTTTTTGATATCACAAATTCTGTCATGTCCCACACAGCAAAAGTCCAAATCAAAATGAACACTGTTTACAAGCAATAACCTCAGGAACTAAAGCATGTAAATAACATGGAAATTAAACACTAACTAGAAGGGAGGTCCCCATGACTGTGAAAAACAAGAACAATGGCCTCTATTTCAAAACTTAGCATTTCAGAATTCTAAGAATTCTCAAAAAGCACAAGATTAAAACCACTGTGACTTAGCAGCCGCAAACCTTAAATATACAAACAACACTCTTCTTCAAATATTTTAACTTTGTATTTCTTAGGACTTGTATTTAGTTCTTACAGGTAAAACTCAAGACACAGATTTTTACTCACTGCCTTAACCTCTTCTGTATTATTAATATTGGATAAAGATATTTAACTCATTGATGTGTTGCATTTTATTTCTACAAGGAAAAAGGATCTCAGTTCAGAAGTACACATTTACAAGAATGAAGCTGATAAAGCACAGACAAACACACACCAGGTTCTGGTCTTTAATGTAAATACTGGGCTGCAAAAGACTACAAAGAGCCAGCATTTTACAAAACTGATCTGTATTCATAATCTCCAGGTCAAAGGGATGCTCATTGCCTGTATTTAATACAAACAGTATTTTAGATTTTAAAGGCTTTAATAATAGGACAAAAATGCATTCTTTCCAGGAGGATTTATGTATTTTATCTGGAATAGCCTTTAAATAAAGTAAAAGGGATATCCTGCACCTCTAGAAACCATCTGTACCAAGGAAGTACAGCTGTACTTTTACTATTTTCTTTTCTAATACCAAACTATGTTGAGGTTGGGGTTTATTCTTCCGTCCCCACTCCATAATGAAAGTGTCTAGGCTTGCTTCCCATGTTACCCCCATCTAATCTAAGAAATAAATTTAGAAAAGCAGAGAGGGGAAAAACTATACTCAAAATTGTGATTTAAATGAGCTGCATCAGGAAGTATAATATTTGACCACACAGAGATATATTTCATAGCTTTTGGTTATTTAAATGGAAGAAGGGAGGAGAAAGATCCTTTTACTTGCCCTACTGGTTTAAGAGAGTGGCACTGTATACACAGATTTAAACAGATCTCAGATGTACTCTGATCAGAAAACCAAATGTGTTACCTGCTTGTAGAGTTAATCATTATTTATCAGGACTGTTCAGACCTTTAGCTCAGCTTATGAGTAGTTACTCAAAATGCCAAAGGTTAGCACTGGCAATCAAGATTAACAGAGGGAGGAAAAAAAAGACTAGTAGTGACAAATGGAAGTGTCATTCACTTGAGGTATAAGACATTATCACATAATGGCAAAACCAGTGGTTTCTTAACGTTATTGCATGTTACACACCTCTTCTTTTTTTTGCTTTTATTACCATTATTCATAAGTGTACATGAAATTAAAGTCTTATTAAATAACAAATAACCAAAACTTAATTTTAAGAGTTCTATACAAAGATAAAAACTCATACACTACCATCCTAGCAAAAGTAAAGTTGTTTTAGCATGAAGATGCTCCATAAATGAATGTAAACTTGCCAAGCCAGACTCTCCGCTCCACAGAGGAAGGAGTCCCAGAAGCACTAGCCAAGCTGACACATGCTTTTTGTATCCTGGAATATTCCTTTCATAATTGCCACCATTTTGCTTCCCCAGACACAGATAGAAATAACTTTAAAAAATTCTCTTCCCTAACAAAGGGAACCAGTATTGTAGTTCATCTCAACTTCTCCAAATGTTTGGCATTTTGCACATGGACCTATTCATCGACTGGCCCAAATGTAATGCAAACTTTTAGATGCTCAGAAACAAGAAATTAAATTAACCTTATCATGCCAACCACAAGCTGCAAGAAAATTTAAGCCATGTATATACATAACCACAAAGAGTTAACACAGGGAATAAACTGAACATAAAAGGAAAGATGATGAGAAGATTCAAAGTAGTAATGGATCCCAGTGTCAAAATCACTGTAATCAATAATTCCTAAGTAACACTCGCTACAGACCTTACATTCACTGTAAGCCATATTTACATATAACAACCTGGAATTTAATTTTATTTCAAGACAGTGAAAAACCATAGCTTTGAAACGAGCACACAAAACACAACAATAAAGACAAAAATGTTGGATGTACCTTGTATTTGGTCATGGTGCTAAAATGGTTGTTCCTGAAGAACACACAAAGTTCTCCCTCCTGGACAGCTGAAGTCAACTCACAGAGTCCATGGTATGTCAATTGTGTAGCTGTGTTATTTAGGAACTGCTCAGCTACAAACCCTACAAAAGCAACACATACTGTTATGTGTGTCTATCACACACTTGCTAATACAAGACCTGGTAACAATAGTAGTATTTTTCCCATCTCCCCACTACATCCCCATATTGCCACAAGCCTTAGGGAACGCATTCAGAGAGGGGCAAACAAGTTTCAAAGTTCTAAACCCATAGCATTGTAAACAAACCTTCTCATGTTCAGAAATGCTATACCCACTTCTAATATTATTCATGTTTTTCCTTGTTGTAATGGAATATATAATTCATATTCTAAATATAGGAGATAAGACATAGTTAAGTTGAAATCTGAATGCTACCACAATAGGGGAACTTCTTGCCAGCTTTTGAAAAAGTGTACTGAATAGATCAAGATCAATGCATCAGAGAAGTTGAAATGAGAAGCACAGTGCTGTGTGACTGCCCAGGGAAAGCAGCTCAGCACACAGAATGCAGCTCTTCCCACTGGTATCTCTACTCAGCGTGACCCACATGGAAAATATGTAACTTAGATTTGGCAGGCCACATACTTTGATAAAATACAGAAAAATATTACCTACCTTCACTAACCAGTTCACTGTTTTCTGACTGTTTACAAGAAATGATCTTCTCCACCAGCTGATTGTAACTGCAGTTACCAACTGCTTTTACTATGTCAGCAACCTGCAGCGGAAAGGAACAACCTTTTTCAGAGAATTTACCTCTGAGAAGAACAGAACACAGCTGCAAGCCAGTGTCAACTATTAATAAGACAGTAAGAATTCAATAAAGAGAGGATGTTATCCTCTTAAAAAAATCTAGGCCATAACATTTTAGTCCAGTGTTAGACATTTTGCTATCTCAGATCCTATTTTAAATCCTTCAGTTAACCCTTAGCATCAAAAGCGAAAGCAGACGGAGAGCACTGCAAAATTCGGATCAGCTGGGCCAGGGTAAGAGAACAGCAACTCTCACCAACAAAACACGAGAAGAAAAACTCTCTGTCATTATTATTCCAGCCAAACTCACCAGTTTCCCCCTAAGTAAACAATACCACTTTATTGTTTATTAAACAATCTAATTAAAAATAAATTTCATGTTTGCTAAAGATGCAGTTCTCTCCAACCAGTTCCACCATCCTCATTTCCCAATAGCAGTGACTAATAAATCAGAATTAAAAAAGGAGGGAAGTAACTTCGTATTCTTTCCAAGTGTTCTCTAATAAGTTTTCAAAAATGATGAATGGGACACCATATCTGGGGCAACTTGCTACTTCCCTCAGAAAAACAATTCTCCTTTACAGAGTCATAGAAGGCTTTTAAAGTAGTTTGACTGTAGACCCAGGCTCTGCAAAGTTCCTGCACTAAAAAACACACAGTCTTTATTCACTCCTCAATTTTTCTGACTAGATTTTAAAAAGCCATTACCATATTCATTATTGGCTTGTTAAAACAATTCAGAAATATCTCCCCTCCCACCAATAACATTCAGAATAACTTTTTTTTTTAATAATTGAAACAGACAAAGTTACCTGAGGGTCCACTAACCATCCATGGTACAAGGGGATATCAAGAAGATCGAACACTATGCATTCAGGAGTGTATTCAAATACTCGGACACCTGTGAACTTCACATTGACATCCAGACCCGTCTGCAACTTATGCAGAATTGCCATTGCATCACTCATATTCTGACAACAGAAAGAAAAAAAAGAACAGATGACCCGATAGAGCTTTGTACACTTGGTGGTTAGTCTTGTCTTCATCATTTAGTACTCATCAACTCAACACTTCAAAATAAAAAAAAAACATTTAAAAGGGCAAATTGCCTGAACAAATGTTTCAATGCACATTCATGTTACACATTGTGCCAGAATATACATGAAATATAAGAATCTCCCTCCAATCACCTCTATCTGATGGTTTCTTCTTTTACACCCATGAACTAGTTTTAGGCTGTTCTGACTGCTTTTAGGTCTATTTCCCAAAGCCACTAGCCAGATGTTTGCAAGGAAACTGAATTATAAGGGTATCTTCAAAGGACTTTTCTTGAGGTTTCTTCTCCCCTGTTAAGCCTTCCCTTAAAAGTCAGGCTGAATCACTTGTCACTATACAATGAATGAACAATAAGACCTACACAGACCCACTTACCAACTCTAATTTCAGGTTTCACTACTAAGAATCAGAGTCTTAATTGTTCACCACATTTTTTTTCTTTAACAAAAAGACAATTGCTATCTTATTTTGGGCATACCTTTAAATGGCCTGTAGATTCTACTGTAGAAACAAGTCATGAAAGTAGCACTTATTATAGTAGTGATCCCAATGGAATCCTAAGGAGAATTATCAAGTTATGAAGTTCCAATCAGAGAAAGGAAAGATGAGCCAAAGAAAATGTGCTTTGTGAGACAGTTATCTGGAACCAACAGATAACAAAAAAAAAAAAAAACAAAAGCAAAAAAAAAAAAAATCCTGACATGCAGGAAAAAGAATTTTCCACTAAGTGAGAAAAGCCCACAAAGAGTACAGTCAGAAAGTCTGTGTAGAAGATTCGAGGAAACTGAGGGCATTTTTTTGTTTGTTGTTTGTTTGTGGGTTTTGGTTCTGTTGCTTAACAGGAATCCAGGCTTACAACAATGAGAAAAAAGCATGATAAAGACCAGAAACTCAGACTGGACAGGAGATGGAAACAGCAAAGATTCACAGACTAAAACCACTGATCTTTAAAAGACAGTTGCTTCTGTTGTCTTCTGATCAGAATCTGCACTTGAGCACAGCTGCTATAAACAAGAGTTTTAATGCCTGTAGCCCTTTAACTGTACTGTTCTGTCAAGTTTCCATGACCAGGAATGGAACAGTTCCCAGTACCTTATTACATTTTGCTTCATCTTACTGACAACTTTGTTATGTCACAAGGTTTGGAATTGAGCAATATTTTGTAGTAATTCTCAAGACTGACTTCAACTTTTAAGTTTTTATCATTTTAAAAGCAAACCAAAACACCATAAGAGTGCATGTCATTAGTACAGACCAGATATCAAACATAAAAACCTGAGATGTTTTGAAAGAAATTTTGCCATAATCTTACTCTGCTAAATGAACAAAAAGTCCATAGTAAGTCAGCATTAGCTGTCCACCAATTTAGATCATACATCGACAGACAATTGCTGCATTTATTTTCTAATGTTTACTTTGCAACAAAGCAGGATTACATCAAATGGATCAGAAAACCACAGAAGTTTCTTACTACAATTTCAACATTATCACTTCTGCTTTAGCTCCTTCCAAACCTTCAAAACAACTTAGAAGACTTCTAGAACAGAAGGCTTCTTTGAAATTACACAGTTAAAAACTGAAGGTATGTGATATTTATGTAATAAACCCATATATTTGAGCATAAGAAAGCTATAGAAGTTGTACATTTCCCAGGTACAGTAGTTTTCATCACCCTCCTGTAAGCTGATTATAGCTATAACCTTCTACAGCACAGAATTGTGTGGAACAAAATAGCCAATTTTGTTATTACAGAAGTAATTCCTATAATCTGATACAAATCAATCTCAAGTTACTTGATTTGGTTTTCAACACTGAATGAGAACAAGAAAAAATGACCTAGGAATAAACAGAACTACCTTGAAACCTTTCACCTATCAAAAAATACAAACCCACTTTTCCATGAGGAACCAAAAAACAACTATGACTACATTCAGAGCTTGGAAAATATATACTAAATCAGTAATTTTTAAAACCAATAGCATTATCTTTAGTATAGTAAGACTTTTGTGATGACATATAAATAGTGGCCAGTGCAAATAATATTGCCTTTCATGACATAGCATCAATCTCTTTCTGTCCATCACAATTGATAACACAGATCTCAGTTTACATGCTCAGAGAAACTCTGGCAGGCACCACAGAACAGAGCAACTGAAGGACATGTAACAGAAGACTTCAAAAAGCAACTTAATATATTTTTATTAGTACCTTTGTGTTACAGTTCCTCAATAAAACCCATTTTATTTCGTTATGCTCGTAGCGGGAGATAAAAACCCCTTACCTTGTGTTAATAGGTAAGAGTTTTTCTTCACTAATAGCACACATATATAGAATTATTACTCTACATCAAGCCCAGGAAAAAACCAACTAGAAACAATGGTCTGTGTGCTTCTGGTTTTTAACAAGGTGACAAACCCTAGGTGAGAAACGTAATTTTAGTTTCCTCTAAAAAGGAAGGTTGGATTCCTTCCAACTGAGGAAGCAACTGTGTTTTAGGAGCAGCTAAAAAAAGCTCCTACCTGCTCATAATTAAGTCGTTGAATTTCAGATATCTCTTTAGGTTTTGCGTCGAGAATGTAGTCTCCTAAAAGAAAGCAGAAATGAAATTAAATTTATTTCACAATCAAAGCTTCGACATTTCTATGAATATTTCTGACTGAATCTGACTGATAATAAATACCACAACTGAAGTTTTCTAAATTAATGAGATCACACTGCTTTATAACCTGAAAGTTATAGTTATGGAGTAAAATATGAATATAAAAAACTTTATAAAATCATATTAAGAAATAAAATTCCAATGGCCAACACTGTTACTAAAGCAACATTTCATAATCTCTTGGGGTATCATACCAATCTTCTCATTAATCAAAAACTGACCTCCCTCTGTGCCTCAGCTTTAAAAATATAAAGAGGACAAACTGTTTACAGTAAGGTATGTTATTCTATACACAATTTAAAAAGGCAACCTGACTGATACTGTGAATGTTTTATTATGTTTTATACAGCAGTAATTCTATAAAACTTGTGCTGGTTTTGAGTGGAGAATAGTTAACTTTCTTCCCTGGTTAGTGGCTGGTGTGGGCTGTGCTTTGGATGTGTGCTGAACACAGGGCTGACAGCAGAGATGTTTTGTTATTGCTCAGCAGGGCTCGCCCAGAGCCAAGGCCCTTCCTACTCTTCACAGGGCCGTGCTGGTGAGGGCTGTGAGGAGCCCCAGTCAGGACAGGTGACCCCACTGACCACAGGGCTGTTCCAGACCATGTTACATCATGCCCAGCACATAAAGTGGGGAGAAAAAGAAGGAAGGAGGAACACTTGGGAGTGATGGTGTTTTTCTTCCCAAGTCACCACGTGTGACAGGGCGCTGCTCTCCTGGCCATGGCTGAACACTTGCCTGCCACAGGAAGCAGTGAATTAATTCCCTGTTTTGCTATGCTTTCCTTATCTCGAGTCTTCAACTCAACCCAGGACTTCTGGCTTTTACCCTCCCCATTCTCTACCTGATCTCACTGGTAGGGGAGTGAGAAAGGGGCTGCCTGGGCTTAAACCACAACACTTGTATTCCACCTTCTTCTACAACACAAAGCTAATTAACTACTTAATAGTTAATCAACACTGAGGTCCAAGATTTGTAACATCTTTTGAGACTAGTATCCACTGTCCAGATTTTATTTCAATGTTTTTGTACTTATTCCCTTGCTCCATTACTAAACTCAGAAAAATATCATTATAGGTTTCCTAATTTATACTCTGAACTTGAAAGTGGTTGAAGGCTGCTTTGTTGGTTTCGGTTTTTTTTTTTAACTGTAGAAGAACTGTAACTGCTAGTCCTGTTGAGTGAATAGGAACCTAAATAATTTGTACACAATTTTATTATTCAATTTAGTAAGATAATTCCAGAAGCTAAAATATGCCTTCAGGAAAGAATACCCATCTAGACAACTGGAATTATGTAATGACTTCAGACAGTATTGTGTCATCAATGCAATTATAAGAAATGTTTAGATATAGGGAGCAAGAGCTCTTATTTTTTTGAGAAAATTATATAGGTAACTTCTTTCTTCAACCAGAAGAGTCATCGATTTGCTTCTGAAAAGAACAGACTACACCATTTGTAAGTAAAAAGAATGAAAATATAGTTAGGGTTATTTTCTCCTCCTTAAGAAAAATCATACCGAGTCTATAAAGTTCAAACATTTTATATTTGTGAAGCTACAAGGGGAGGAAAAGTGGTACATACAGTTTAAGTACTATCACAACTGCACTTTTAACACCTGGATCATTAGGGGTATTAAAGTTCCGGCCCTGTCAGATACAAAGAGCTGCAGTTTTTCTGAACACTGAATATGATACCAGAGTAGTGCCTGCAAATGAAACCCAAATCTCTGAGGACTACAGTAATTTTTGTTATTTTAATTGGGTCATACTTCCAAGGATTAGAGTTACTACAGACAATTAAAGACAGAGTTGACTTACTACATTCTGTCAGCTGTAATAAAACAACACTGTAACAGACATGAATAACTTTAAATCTGTCAATGTGTTGGTGCACTAAGCCATACCAACGGCATCAACAAGACCAATCACTTTAGAAAGCAGTGCAGAAAGCTTCTAAAAACAGTTAAGTAAAAGCATGAGTCACTGAATACTGTAAGCAGTTTTCCTGAATCACATGAAAAGCTGAATAAAATAGTAAATAAATAAAACAGTTCTATGTTACTACACACTACAAAGTACAACATACAAGTGGAAAGAGATTTATTACAATTACTAACCTAAGTATTCCATCAGCTGTTCAGCTGTTATGATCTCCATCATTGGTGGCAGTTTAATCTGTCAAAGTAAAAGTATATTCTCTTTAAACACTGAAACACTACAATTTAAAAAGCATGGTATTTCTAGACAAAAGACTTCTGATTACATTTCCCTCACCAGTTTATAAGGCCATTAGCATACTGGACCTCTACTAAATAGCAGCCACAAGAAGAGATTAAACAAGCATTTAGGTTTTTAGAGAAACCACATGTACACAGCACTTTCTCCCACCTGCACATCTCTGCATAGAGACCAACCAAAACATTTCTCCAGCATCCCTCTCCACAGATGCTCACACCACTCAATGCAATGGCTCAACTACAAGCACTCAGAATTAACAGACTGTGAACTGCTTAAGAAAACATCTTCTTCAAGTGTTTGACTCTCTAATTCCTTAAAATTCTTAACTGAGTATTAGCTTAAAAAGTTTCTGCGTACAGAAAAAGTCTGTAAAGGATCTAGTGTCAGTAGCTGCTGAGACGGGGAAGCCAAGGACCTGTGCAGGTGTAAGGAAATGACCTCCCAGCCACTCTTCCCACATTCACATTCCAAGGGTTTGGTTTACCTCCATACAGAGCAGACCAGACACACAGAACTCTGCATAAAGATTCCATTCCTCTCTTTCCTGATCTATTCCCACCATCATCTACTAAATCTATCCACCTTGGCAGAGCTAAAAGCTTTCTGCATTCTCATCTCTTCCAGCATCCTGGGTAAATGTTTTGGTTGAACACTTCCATTTACTGCAGGAAGAAATACAACAGCCAGAGCACAGACACATACAAAGACATGCTTCTGGCAATCTAAAAAAATACCATAGGAGTATACAGACTTCAAACACAATGTACTCAACTTTTCTCTGCATAAATGTGAATTTTATTTTTCTAGGGTTTAGGGTTGGTTTGTCTCAGGGGTTAATTTTTAAGGTCTCTTCAGTTCTAAATTTTCTCACCCCACCACTCTCCAACATCTTACAATTCAAAGTCTAGAAAAGGTATTTATTATATTGGGAATTTTTTAAATCAAGTTCCTCAATACTGATCACTGCTCTCTTTGACACATATAGAAAGACATGATGTGAAACTGTTAATTCATGCTTGAGATTTAATAGGTTCCACCCACTTTTCCGGTTGTAGAGGAGAAGGGACAAGTAGAAAATCAGGAGACAGAAGAGCAATATACATAAAGCCTTTGATTTAGCACCCCAAACTCAAATATACAGTATAGCAACACACTACTTCGTTCACATTGTGATGGAGACAGTTTTCAGTATGAAAACAGAGCTACTTTAATAAATTTGCAGGGAAAATGAGGTGTGATTGGGCTACATCTGTCTTATCAATTTTAATTATATTTGACAAAAGGTAAATGCGTTAATATATGAATTCACAAGAAGTTTCATTAAATTCGGGAGAAGAAAGAGACCCAAGTTAATATGGCTTTGTTATTTATACTCTAAGAAATATGTCCCTACTTGGGTGGGCATATAAAGAAGCTGGTAGTACTGGGATCTGGGAAAGGAATAAAGAAAAATCAGGCATGTGTGCATAGACACATGGTTTTTTTGAAAATACGAAATGAATGACAACTGACAGTAACTTACAGAAATTAACTCCTCCCAAAACTTATGCTCAGTAAGCTAAATGCTTTCATACTCTTTGATCCTGTTCACAATGTTCCTTCTGAGTATTCACAAAAATACAGTGTATTGAGCCATGTAAACAATAAGACTACAAGTTCAAAAAGCTGCCTTTTAAACTCCCAGTTGGGACTGGCAACATTCAAATCTTAGCAAATACTAGCTGCGCACACCCCTGAGCCAGGGCTCATCACAGCCCATAAGGCACAGAGCAGCATCACCTCCACCAGCCCTGCCTGAAGTGCTACAGCACTGATGTGCCAGTACAGTATGAAGGAAAATCAGCACTGCTCCCTCAACTGTTAACTGGACTCCTGTGAAGATTTTTCAGGACTGGTTAGTTCTTTTTATTATTTATTTAAACCATTTCTATCAGCTCAGCCAGCATTGCTTGGGGGTTTCTGCTCTGCACCACATTTGGAACCTCTAGAAGCATGCTTACATGACAAACACCAACTCTAAAGCACAATTCCACAGCTAACCTATATTTGAGCTCCATGCACAAACAGCACAACATATATTTTATATCACTGGTTAACAAACAGAACTTTCCCTCACAACTGTAAAGCTAAACATTTATTTTTTTACTGCAGAAAAAGCAATGTGGTTTTACTCATCTCCAGGATCTCTCAAAATTGGATATTTTAGCAAGCTATGTCTCAAAATTAACAGCTTGATTAAATGCTAAGCAAAGTTAATTGGTTACTCCATGGCAATTTTAGGGCCGGCATGTGTAGTGGGACCTTGATCACACCTTTAAAATGGGCTAATGGGGTTCCAACACAGTTCTAAGTACTTTTGAAAAGAGCTGACCCAAAGATATAGAGAGAACATGACATTTCCCAGCTGTTCAGAGCTTCATTGCAAGTACTTAAGCGACAGGAAATGTACAGTGGAGAGGAAATGGGAGCAAAAAATACCTTAGAACTTAAGGGAGAGCAAAACCTCACGGTTTTGTACGGAACCACAGTCATTGTCCAGATAAATGAACAGAAGAAAACAACATAAGCAACAGTAGTAGAAGCTGCTGTTGTCCATAACAATCTATTATTTTGAGGGACACATTTTGTCAATAGGTTTCAATGTTTAATTGCTACATCTTACATCAATTCCACATTTTAGGAAAAATGCATTTCCTCAACTCCCACCCATTTCCTGTACCCCTCTACTGCAGTTTCCTGGTCTTTCACCGTGATAGCTCTTTCTAACTAGCTACATTTTACTTCCTACACTCAGGAGTGGGAAACTTAGTCTTTCTCACACAACTACAGCATGACATATGGATGAGGCGTATTTTAATTAAAAGATAAGACCGGTAAACAAATTTTCATAAGGAATATATTGTTTAATAAAACTTACAGTTTCTCTAAATTAGACTACAAATCCCAAAACTACATAATGCTAATTTTCCACCGGATTCTTCCACACTACAGAAGGGCTTAAAAAAAGTTAAGTGATATAGTCATGCACAGAGGATAACACTTCTGAAAATACTATGAATATCAAAAGGGTCCAAGAAATTTTCTAATGGCTTATATAATAAGTCTTACATAAGACTTATAGTCTCAAAACATGTTTATCTAAAAGATGCCAGTCCTCTGAACACAGTGTTTCAGAGAAGTAAGGGTAGCTTCAAGCAGCTTTGACAAAAAAACAGTTAATATTCTTTGCAAATAAGCACCCCTGGCCTGGCAGGAACAGCTCTGTGAACCTGTCACACGACAGCCCGACAGCAAGTGCTGCCACCCCACGTCCTCAGGCAGGCTCCCTTCATCCCCTCGGACTGGGCTTGGTGCTGTGCCTGGGCGCAGCTCCAGGCTGTGATCTGCGGGCTCACCTCACCCCACAGGTGCCAGAGGAAGGGAGGCCGGGGCCCGCAGCCTGTGCGAGCAATCTGTGCCAAGCCGGGCCATACGGACAGAGCTCAGCAACAGGGACAGCGCATCACGTGTGAAGGGCCAGTGCCAGCCCGCAGAGCGGCCACCACCACTGCAGCCTCTGACAAATGGACTGCATATCAGCAGGAGCTCGCTGTGCTCAGCTCCTCTGAAAAACACTATTTTATGAAGACCTAAAATTAAGAATTTCTAACTAGAATTTTTTACTCTACCTCTTCTCTGCACATCAGTTTGGATACATCTAAGCACAAAAGTGGTTATATAACATTTACTTACATAATTGTTATGATACCTCAGTAGGTAATTCATACAGTTCTAAAAGTTACCAAAACTTCAGTAGAACTAGATGTGTAGGGAACACAGCTCCTTCCATTTATTGAGAGGATTATGACACAAAAAAGCTTTCAAAGACATTTGACTGGCGTTGTTCTCCTACAACATGATATTCCATATGTATGCACTTCTCAAGACAGTATTATTTATATTCAAATTGTAGAATGTTTTCCCTTTGCTTATTTTATGTTTCAGAATCTTCCCTGGACATTTCAGATATGCCACTTCTGTGCAACTTGTTAAGGTTCACAGAGTTCTTCAGCTGAAAGACAACACATCCTACCTAAGAAGCACAGAGCAGAATCACATGGCACCCTCACTTTAGCTTTTAGCATCTGATGATTGCCACATTTCCCCCTGCCACAAATTACATTTAATGAAATTAATGTAGTCATAATGAAGTCATCAGAAAGTGTTGCATGAACTATATCTAACCAAGATCACAAAAGACACTTAGAAAAGCCAACTTTACATTGCTAAACTTAACCACATAGTAAGCTACAGGCCTGAGCAAAAACTGAACAATCTCCAGATTTAAATAAAGTGAAAAACAGTGTGCTACACTACTCCACATCAGAGGACACAACTCATGCTTGTACATACATTTTAAAATGTTTGTTTCAATCCCTACTTCTGCTTCATTTCTATCACATAAGTCTAAGGGGTTATTACACTGTTTTGCACAACAGCTATTTTTCCAGGTTGGCATCATAGTGCTTTTGGTTTTTTTCTTCTTAGAACATTTCTGTAGCACTCCTGTAGCAGAACTCCTTGGCTCTCCCTCTTACAGGCTAAACTGCAAGTTACACTTAGACAGGCAGACTGCAAAAACACTTCAAAAGAAAAGTAATTTCATAATTTTAATATTTAAAATACAGCTTCTGCAATCTGCCACCTCAAAGTTTCATGTATCCTTTGAAAGTAGTGGATAAAAGAGAGGTAGCAGGTTTATCACAAGCTTAGTTCCAAAATCTGGTATTTCCAAAATGGAATTTGAACTGTCACAGTGGGTGCTACTGTTTCAGAATTTCCAAAACCCCAACTGCCAAACCAGTACTGCACTTAAGTTGGCTGAGACCAATCTATCTGCAGGATGACCAGAACTCTCAACCCTGTCAGGACAGAGTTCTGAGAAGGAAAAATGATGGCTGATACAGGGAATAGAACCCAAAGCCTAACTGTTTAACTTCTTATTATATTTCCTGATGTGATTATATTTTCCCTCCTCACCTCCTTCTTACACCCTTTTTTCCCATTACATGTAGCTTCTTTTCAAGTAATATGTACTATCGTATTCTCACTCTACTTTTGCCTGTTTTCATCTTTCAGTTTGCCTTCTTGTTCCCAAATTATAACTACTCGACCCAGTCTAGTGTTCATCATGGTTCAGGAGGAGTGAGAAGGTGGACATCCATCCTCAGCCTTCATAAATAGCAAGCTACTGTCAGTGATGTACAGATGAGCTTCCACCTCAACCAGTGTCAATGTGATTCTTGACTATGAACTGGGGAAAAGAAAGGCCAATTTGTAGAGGCAGTAATTAGGAAAATCAATTACAAGCAACTACAAAATATAACCAACTAATAGGAAAACCCTCAAGCCTATAAATAATAACTCATGATGACAGTTTCACCAGTTTAGCTGCCTGTCTGCAGCTCATGTAAATTCTGATGAGGTTTTGCACAGACAGAACTATAGAAAACTTCCTGTAATCTGAGCAATATGAAACAGTAGGGCACTCCCAAGGGGTATTTTGATTTTGGCCTATTTATAAAACTGGGTATTACCTTAATTCTCACTAATGCAGTATTTGAACCCAGGACAATGTCAGTTAAAATTCTGGTTGGAGAGCAGCAGCAGAGGGAAAAGGAAGAATGCAAAGGAACAAAACCTCCAAAACCTTAAATTCAAACAACAGGACCAGTGCTGTCCCATTTACATCTTTCATTAAATCAAAGATTAAAAAGGAAGATCCTGTAACTACCAGTTTCCTTTAAAATGCCACCACACAAAATGATAGGGAATTGCAGGTTTTTTAACTCACCCCCAGACACTGAAGAGGGGGCACAGAAAACAAGTGTTCAATACTGAAGCCTGTGACAACATTCACACCCTCTTGAAGACAGCAGAGCCTACATAAGGCAACACCTTAAAGTCACACACAACTTCCCTCTACTGCTTTTACTGATGCTTAAATAGCAACATCACTGTACCCAGAGTTTCCCTCCTGATGTCTGAGCTATTGTGCTCAGAAAAATGTGTAGAAATTGTAACTCAACCAATAGAGCTGTTCTTCTGCAGTTAGCTACATCTACACAAATTTCATCTCATATTTCCATTCTTACCTTTTCCTAAGTCACCTCTCAAACTGCAAACAACCAAGAGGCTCTTCCAATACCAAATTTCTTCCCCTTGCTACTACAACATAAAAGCTATTCCTGTAAAGCTTTCCTATTTCAGGACTCCATTCTATCAGCTCTTCAGTCCTTTGGGGCTGAATTGCCAGCATTTCCTGAGACATGCCCCTCATCCTTGTTTTGCAATGCACACAAAATCCTTGTTTTGCAATGCACACAAACTTTCTGCTTTCCTCCAACAGATACTCCCTTCACACAGACGTGTTAATAACTGCATTATACCTCATATTTAAATTACTTAAAAGTTTGTAAAAAAAATAATTTTAAGACTACAGTAAGTCTACATCGGTTATGGAGCACAAGAACTTCCAGGTCTCAAAGCTGTACTTGATCACTACCTGATCTATTCACTAATTGAAATACAATCGATACTGTGTAACTGTATGAATGTGTCACTATTACTCAGGCAGTTATTTGTACAAATCCATATTTTGTACAAATCTGCATTCTGTACAACTCTACATACACTTTATTATATGAAACTTCCAAAAATATCACCTATGTGCTCAGTGCTACAAATAGTAATCTTTACTTACTAGAAATCTGTACCCATCTGCAAACTATTAGATACTGTATATTGTTCAGGTTAGTAAACATCAGCTAGATATTTTATTTCTGTTTTAAGACAACAACAAAATAAGTCCATATACGACAGCAGCATCTAAGTAGTATATTGGCAACATACTATACAGCAGTGTGTATTTTCCAAGTTCTATATGTGAGACGTGTTTAACAACAGAAATAAGCCTGTGTATTTCTCGAAAGAATCACGGAATGGTTTGGGTTGAAAGAGACCTGAAAGACCACCAAGTTCCAACCCCTCTGCCATGGGCAGGGACACCTTTTACAAAGGCCACGTTTCCCCGCGACTCAGCCAACCCGGCACTGGACACTGGCAGGGAAGGGGCATCCACAGGTTCCCGGGTTCCACAGAGCAACATGTACCAGCGCCTCATCACCCTCATGGGAAACTATTTTTTATCTTGTATCTAAACTTGCCCTCCGCTAGTTTAAAGCCATTCCCCCTTGCCCTATCGCCGCATGCCCTTGTCAGAAGTTCCTCTCCAGGGTTCTCGATAATGTCCTCGTCCTGAACAGCACAAACTTCCCGCGGTGCCCTCAGGCCGCCCTGGCCCAGGAGCCCCGAACGCCGCGGCGCCACACGAGCCGCCGGCGCTGCCCGAGCGGCACCGCCCGCCCGGCCCCGCCATGGCGCCCGCCCGCCCGGTACCTTCCAGGCCAGGAGCAGCACGTTCATGATGGCCAGCAACGGACAGGGGCCGTTCTCGTTCTGGGTGATGACCGGCGTGTTCTCCTCCTTCCAGCGGACCCACTTGATGTGATAGACCGACTGCCCCGGGAAGCGCTCCTTGGAAGCGGAGAGGAGCTGGGAGCCCGCCGCCGGCCTATCCCCTTCGGGCTCCGGGGCCGGGCCCCCCAAGGAGGCCCCCGCCACCACCGCCTCGTCGGCGTCGCTGTTGAGCTCGGAGCTGCTCGGGCAGCAGGAGTGCAGGTTGGAGAAGGACTCCAGCGAGTCCAGGCTGCGGGACTCCTCCCCCGGCGGGCTGGGAGCGCCGCTGCTCCCGGAGCCGGCTCCCGCGGGACCGCTCTCCGAGGCGGGCGCCGCTCCGGGACTCTCCGGCACCGCCAGCCCCACGCTGTCCGCCGCCGCACCACCCTCCACGGCCCGGGAGGGGGACGCGGTCCGAGGGGCCGCGGCGGGAGCGGGGGCCGGCGGAGGAGAAGGGCTGCGCCGTCCGCCGCCCTCCTCGGCCTCACTGCAGCCGCCCTCGCCCGCCGCCGCTTCTCCCAGGCGGAGCCGGCTGGCAGCGCCCCCGCCGCCCGTCTGCAGCGAGCCCGGGGGCGGCGGGGGCTGCGCCAGGCTCTCCATGCCCGGCCCGGCCGCTCCGCTCTCTATTGGCACCGCAGCGGCTGCGCCTCCGCCTGCAGCGCCTGCGACGCCATCACAGCAGCGGCGCCGGCTCCGCCCCGCCGGGGACGTGCGGGCGGGGGGAGCGGCCGCGGGTCACGGCGGGGCCCGGGGCGGGGGGGCCCCGGGGCGGGGCGGCAGCGGGAAGGGGAGGGAAACAGGTGAATCCGACTCTCCCAAGGGTGCTCGGTGCCTTTCCTTGCGGTTTCTTAGACAGTCGTACTATAAAAAATACGGCTCTGATGAGTATAATAGATAAGCCGGACAATTTGAATAGACTAATTGAAGGAGAGGAAATTTAGGTTATACATTAGGAAGAAAGTCTTTACTGTGAGGGTGGTGAGGCACTGGCACAGGTTGCATAGAGAGGCTGCAGATGCCCCATCCCTGGAAGCTTTCAGGTCCAGCTTGGATAAGGCCTTGAGCAACCTGGCCTAGTAGGAGGCTTCCCTGTCCATGGCAGGGGCCTGGAAGTAAATGTTCCCTAAGATCCATTCCAACCCCTTAACATTCTGTGATTCTGTAAGAATTAATGCGTGTGTATTTATTCAGACTTTATCCCAATGAACTGCTGCTCTCCCTACAGAAATCTTTAGCTTTTACTCACAAATTTTAAATAGTCTTGGGATGATAAGGATTTATCCTCTCATTTTATTCTCAGCAGCACTCTAATTTGAACTCTGTAAACACTTGAATCAACTTCTGCAGCCTTACCTGAGGTACATTCACTGTAATCTCATGTTCTGTGTGCATTTCCATAACCCCTTTTCTCACCTGTATCAGTGTTCAGAGGGAAGTTGGTTCTGACATAGCAATAGGAATGGAAAAGCACAAATATAAAGAGCTGACAATAAACTGAGAAATTTGGCACAAATCCTAATCTATTTATAGATTTATTTATATATAAAAAATAAATCTCTGAGATGGCACAGTTGATGGAAGAATTAGCATAAGGACAAACAAGAGAGGAACATTTTTTTCAGATGTCTCATATTTATATTTCCATGGGAGGATTTTCCTGTACCCTTGAGGTTGTTCAAGACAGCCTTAGAATGGCAAGTCCCTGTTCAGTGGGGACACTGCAACACTTCACAACATGTAGAACATCGGGAGAAGTCAGTGACCTAAAAACTCTGAAAATAAATTCGTTTATGCAAAGAAAACGTGTATCTGGTAAGGGGATGAAGGAAACCAGAGTAAAAACTCTAAAAATAAGTCAGTTTTCTGCAAGGAGAAGCCACGTATCCACTAAGGGGACAAAGGCCCGCGCGTTGTGCTCGTACTTCGGTGCGGCGACTGGTCCGAAGCCCCGTCCCGGGGCGCGCCGGAAGCGGCCGGGCAGGCCCCGCCCCTCACTCGGGCCCGCCCCTGGGCGTGTCCCTGCGGAGCCGCCCCTTCCGCCGGGCCCAGCCCCTTGCGCGTGGGGCGGGGCGGGGCGTTCCGCGCGCTCTGGGCGTGTCCCGCGGCCCCGCCCCCCCGGCGGCGTCTGGCGCGCGCGCGGGCGGAGGGAGCGGCGGCGCGCGGAGCGGAGGGAGAGGGGCCAGCGCTGCCGGGAGAGCCGCCGAGCCCGGCCGATCCGCGGCCGTTCCGTGGGCGGGAACAGACCTCCGGAGCGGCGGCGGACAAAGCGGAGGGAGGCGCCCAGCTCGCCCCTCCCCATCCCGCCCGGCGCCGGTCTGGGGCGGATGTGCCGTGGGTAGGCGGCGGCGGCGGGGCCTGCGCCCGGCGGAGATGGATCTGGCGGGGACGATAATCCTGCTGTGCTCCTGCGCGGCGGGCGCTGGAGGTGAGGAGCCGCCTGGCCTCGCGGGGCCCTGGTTTAGGGTCGTCTCCCTTCCTCCCTCTCTCTTTCTCCCTCTCTCTCTCTCCCTCTCCCTCTTCCTCTTCTGTCTCCGCCGCTCGGGGCCGGGGGTGGCGGGCCCCGCTCTCCGGAGCGCCCCGGCCTCAGGGCCGCGGCTGGGCCACCAGCTGGGCTCCCCGCTCCGCCCGCCGCTTCATCCCGCCCGGGCCTCTCCCCCGCCGCCCGGGGCCGGCCTGGTGCCCCTGCCCCCGCCCCGGGACTTTCCCCGCCGAGGACCGGGTCAGTTGCTCTCCGCTCTTCTTCCTCCTCGGGTCCTTCTCTCTTCGCTCGGCTGTGTTTGTTTTCCCCTCTCGGCTCCGCTTCCGTCCCTCGGGACTTCCCGCCCGGTCCCGGTGGCCGCTTCTCTCTCCCTTCCCCTCGCCCTCGCCGCCGCTTCTCTCTCCCCGAAACCAGGAAGCACGGGCAGGCGGAAAGTTCAGCTTAAGGAAATAAAAGACGAGCTCGGGTTCTTCCCTAAGTGTGACCGTGACTTCCAGGAGGGTCTCGCCTCTCCCAGGTCGGGGCAAAACTCGCCTGTGTTTATGGAGACATGTAACTGTATCGGCTCCCGTTAGGAGTTGTTCCTCGGCATTAGGAACTGGGCGGTTTCTCCACTGCACCTGGTAATGTTTAATTGATCAAGTCATGACAGGGAAAATAGTTTCGACTTTGTACAGAAAAAGGGTTTCGGGAAGGGTGGACTTGGGAGGGTGTTTCTAGAGAAGTGTGGGTGGAACAGCTGATAGAGACTTGTTTCCTCTGTTTCATTTAGCACCTCTCCGATTTATCTGGGCTCTGCCTCTGTGTGCATCGATATGTGGGTTTATTAACAAAGAAGCTAGCGCTAAATGCTGGTGTTTCACACATTCTCAAAAAGTAACATCAAACTATGGGAAACTTAAGTAGGTTGTTCCTCTGGCTAAGCTGTGAGATAAAAAGCAGGGTGATTTTCATGGTCAGAAATCATCCCGTTATTTATATGATTAGGAGTGGGATACACAAAAGAATTAAGTTTTTCTTAGTAAATTCTTGTAAGGTGTAGATATACTTCACACTTAATTGTTGGCATATTTTCAAGGTCTCTTTGTTTTCTGAACTAAATGGTGCTGGCACAGAACTAACTCAAAATAATTCATTAACCAGTTGTGAGGGTTGTTTTCACTGTTTAATTCCAGGCAAGCAGTTGTGTCTTAAAAATCGTAGTAAACATGTAAAGTACAGTCTCTAGACATATAGAAGAAAGTTTGTGAAATGTATTTCAGAAATTCTTGTTATTTTTTTTTGAGAGGAGAATGGGCACCTTCAATGTTTCTGGGCACCTCACTAGCAGGTGGCAGAAGTGCATGTCTTTGGTGTGTAGCAGTGCAAGTAAATCTTTAAAGAAAGATTAATAATGTTGGATAGAAATCTAGTGATAATGCCAATACACATCTCTAAAATATCCAGTAGAAGTTTTTTGGTAAAAGTTTGAATGTAATTGTGAAAGATTTGCCATAGTTCTATGTTAAATTACAAACAGCCTTTTAAGTTTAGGAGGGTCTATTTTTTTGCATTCGCATTTCTAGAATTTCTTACGTACTGTAAATGTTTTTATTTATTGAAAAATAGGATTTTGTATATTTTTCCTTCTGAGCAGGCATAATAATATCTGATAATATCATTAATATCTGTGGACAGGGAAAGTTCATGATTTTTAAAGAAGTTACTGTGAGAGCAGTGCAAACTGGAAAGAACTGAAAAGAGTCCAACAATTTATATTTCATTTATGTGTAGTGCATCTGGCATCATTAATTTTACACAGATCTTGAAGCTAAGTTACTTTTATCTGTATCTGGTTTTAAGCCACATATATATTAGACAGTAATAATTTTGGAAATTTCATTAATCTGCACTTTAAAAATAATTAGGGATTTGTATGTTTGGTCTAAGATTGGAGTATTTTTACAGGATACTTGAGTTTGAACTCTTTCAGAATCATACAAGACTTTGTGCCTGTGCACTGTGCAGGCACTCTACATATTCTCTGGTAATAGTGTTTAGATATTAAGGTATAGATTAAGAGAACCAACTGTTACATTAGCTCACAGCTAAGTATGAATCACAAAATCAACTTTTAAAAAATGGTACAGCATAAGTTGGATGGTTTATTTGACGTTTAGTGAAATCTTTGTTTTGTTTAAAAATATATATTTTCTGTTGTGGTTCATAAAATTTTGTGAGGGGAATGCAATCAAAAACAACCAGTAGTGCTGCTGCACTGGTGAAATGTATTGTAGTGTCTGTCTTGGGCTGCTTCATAGCTTTTGGTAGGTTATGTCTGTGTGGTTAAAGCAGACATTATCAGAAGTTTGGCCAAATGGGCCCAGAAATATTCTTGGTCAGGTTCTGGTATAAGATCACTTCTAGTGTGCTCCTCTTCTTTCTTTGCTTCCACTACGCGTAAATATTACCTTCATAAAACCAGTGGTCCAGCAGGTCAGTTTGACTACTGTTTGAATAGTATAAGAAGGAAAAGCCACACCATTTATTTTGTTCTTTCTGTTAGTAATTAGGGAAACCTAGAATTTAGTATCTGGTATATGGTGTCCACTTGACATAAGGTATATGTACCTTGACTTTTAAGAATTCTTTCGTATAAAAGTGAATCTTGGCGTTTTCCCCAATACCTCTGGAATTGCTTGGCTTAAGGGATCTATTCACTTACCGGTGCTGTCATGAATTTTGATGCGTGTGAAGTGGTATTTAAGTTGGGTAATATTATTGGCAGCTTTTTGTAGCATGCTTTGCTGCATGCGATGAAGATGCATACTGGTATATTAATGAGTACTTAATTATCCATACATAGTGATGTTAGTAGAGGAATGGAAATAACTAAATTAACCGCCTA